CCAATCGCAGTCATTAGAACTAGCCCCGGCCTCGCCGAGACGTTAATTGGGTTAATCGCGATTGTTCGTTAGCTCGGTCAATCACCGTGAGTTCTGCCGGCTGATATTAATTGGGCTAATTACTTGTGCGCATCTACCGTGAATTAAGATGGATCGCGTTGCTCGAGCTTTCCTCGTACCCGCTCCGGGGAAGCATGACGACACTGTCGAGTGGGATGAAAGCATTTTGTGCGAACAGCTGCACACTCTGATCTCTTCTTCAGGTGACTAAGAGAGAGAACGCGCGTGGACATTGACGCGTGATCAGGTTACTACGAAATTGTATCTGAGATTCGCCGCGGTGTCCGGTAAATCGCGCTCTCGCTACAAGTTTCAGTGCATGGCAATGTCCGCCATTCTCGAACGTTTAATCAACGAGCGATATAGATACAATGGGGGGGAGGGGGAGAGAGGCGAAAGAGTCGCGCGAAGGATCTCGTGCATCCGAAGATATCAAGTCTGCGCGGGTCTGGCTAGTTTTGTTCTCCAGACAAAAAATCCTTTTGTGCGGAGATTGTGTAGGAGATTGTTGGATGAAAAAAAAAGGCGAAGGTTGCTCGCGAGACGCATAGGCCGGCGATGTAAGTAACGACGTGTTTGGCGTCTGCTGAGGATGGCGAAGTGAGGAGAAAGAGAGAGAGAGAGAGAGAGAGAGAGTGGCGTGCGCCGAGAAAATAATAAAAAGAGGAGAGGAAAAAAAGGAGCAAAAAGACACGCGCTGAACAAAGTGAGCGGGAGGAGGATGTGGAAATGGACCAGAAAGAAATATTGGCACGGAGAGTACCGTCGAGGGCCGACGATCAGTCCCACAGGCGAATCCTCACTTCCGCTCGTTTCCTGCAGCCTCTCTCATTTCCCCTGTGTAAATATTCACGTGCGCCTAGCCACATAGAGAGCCCTTTCCTTTTATTACTCACCCCCCCTCGCCCATACTTCCGACGGAAGTATCGTACAATGTGAGCTGATTATTAATTATCACATCGTTCGCTGATCGTTCATGACCGGCTTCGCTGAAATCATGGGGGGCTTGCCAGGCGTTGTTAACGTTTCTGTACAATCGGATAAATCCCGCTCGAAGCTCGGCTGCTCGCGACGGTTTCCGTGGGAGGAAGGAGAAACTCGAGTCTCCTTTTGCCGCCGTAACTCGCCCTCCCCCTCCCCCCCCCCGACAATCGACGTTAATCGCAAATTGGCGAAAGTGCACGCGCGTTCTCCCCGCACGCCCTTGCGCGCGCCCTTCGCGAAGAGTCGCTGCGCGGCTCGACGGTCGGCTCAATTATTCTCACGATGTTGTTGATTGCGAGTCGTGTCGTTGCGGGCGGCGATAGGTCACGGCGGTCTGCGAAGTTGACCGATGCTTCCACGTGGAAAGTGGGATTTACAGCCGCGTAACACAATGTGTGGTTAGCCGCGAGTATCATCGATCCGCTGGAAACAGGGCAGGCTGCTTCCAGAGCGGACCGCCGAAAGTCGCGCTGCCGAAATGCGGGTCGCCGACCTTTCTTCGCTGATGCCTCTCTTCCGCCCTATGCGCTTCCACCCACCCCCCTTCCCTTCCCGCCTACTTCCATTGACTGTGACCACGACTTGGCGGGCAACCAAAACCGTACTCTTTTCGCGAGACGCTTCGTATCTCGGTCATGCGCGCGATGATATTTCTTTCTTTCTCTCTCTCCCTTTGTCTCTCCCTCCTGCTCTCTCTCTCTCTCTCTCTCTCTCTCTCTCTCTCTCTCTCTCTCTCTCTCTCTCTGCCTCTCGATCTCTTTCATTTTTCGCCTTTCACGTCGCGAAAGCTCGTTTTGCAATGGAAATTGTCCTTCGTACGGTCGATTTGCATTTGCCTCCCGGACGGACCGGGCGCGACGGTGGACGGATTTGCGGAGTGTTGCCGCGACCTGCGGCCGTCTAGTTGTTTAAAACTGCCGCACTATTTCGCGGTAATGCATAGCGATTTGATGTATACGTCGCCGCCCGCTCTCCCTCCTCCTCATTCTGTCTCTCTCGATATCCGTCTAGTTATTCGCTGTTTTCGCAGTTGTCGGAATTAATGCGCCTCGCACCGATATCAAAGCCAATACGGACATGTCGTTATTTCGATTCCGGCAATTTGTTGCGCGTGATTGTTGCACCTCGGCGCTGCGCGATACGCTAAACACGAAGCGGAGTTTCATTTCTGCCTTCAGCGGGCAACTTTGATTGTAACGTATTAACGCGCAATTTCACGTAATACCGATATACACGTCGCGCACAACTTCGAGACGAATGTCGGATTGAAACAATTCGCGAACAGACACGGAGCTGTTATTCGCGCGTTGCGTTCCACGGCGGCGACGCGATCGCGCTCTCACGATAATTAAACGCCCGCCGCTTGCTTTTATTTCATAGGAGAAAAAAGAGGCGGCAAAATCGATACAGCCACTCGCGACGGAAGGCAACGACGGAAGAGACAAATCTCTTTCTTCCAAGTCGTAAGCGCGCATTTTGTTCCGCGCTCTCGATTTCACATTTCGCGCGGAAATAATCGTCGCGCGTAAGCGGCGCTGGCGTTAACGTGCGAACCAGGACAGAATCGCGTCGATTTCACGTGTCAGGAAACGAGCGTCATCGCGAGTTCTCGCGGCGACTTGCTGGATTCCCGGCTTGGTCGAGACATCGGGTGACTCGCGCTCGAGACGAAGGCGAACGGGAAGCGCTACGTTCCGATAGCGAGGAGACGGAAAGACGATCCTCTCAGGTGTCGTTGAATCTTAAAGTGCCGCGGACGAAACGGGAGGAAGGAACTCGGAGGGAACTCGGCGAGGCGATCGTCGGCGACAGGTAATTGCGTTGCAAAATTGCACGCGAGGGCTCGTTACTTGAAGCCGCGGCCGGCTGCATTCCGGTTATCGTCTCGCATCCCTCGGAAAAGGGACCGTCCTCTCTCTCTCTCTCTTTATACGGATGAAAATATCCTCATCGCGCGTCGCACGTGAGGGATAGCTTCCGCGCGAATTAAACACGGCGTTTCGAGCGTGCGTACATACAAACACAAGCACACACATGTGCACTCGCACATGCACAAGCAGCACAAACCCTCCCGTTCATCTATCCCGAGTGACTCGGCGCGGTAATCAGGATGGATCGCCGTTGCTGGTTACTATTCGCGAGACAAAGAATCGGCCAAGGGACCGTGGACTTTCGTCCACGGTGCGGTCCCGATGGAAGCACTTCGGCTTATATGCATTCGCCCTGGCTCGAGAGAAGCGCGACTTATCCTCTCGTTCTGGAATTGTCTGCAGTTCCGCTTCGAGCGAGAGATCCGCGTCGGAATTCGCTGCGTCTCTCTCGTTGTCGGTGAACCGTCGGTGAACCGTCGGTGAGCGTTATTGTATATAACGTGGCATAACGCGGCCGTTAAACGTCAGCCGCCAAAATGACTTACCGATAAAATATGAATACTCGCTCAAAACGGTCAGGGGATGTTGAAGAGGCGATGAGGAGGGCAGGAGGGACGGGATAATTGTCTCGGGATTTACTTGCAGACAGGTCTAATGTGATTGGTAGTTCCGAAGCGGACGTGGGGGCTTCTCGGGGGACAATCGAGTTTGCGCTCGGCTAGCAATTACGCTCTCTGCTCGTTACGCGGTTTGACAAACTTTCTCCCGCGGCAGCGAAAGACGCCGGCGTCGTGTCCCTGCCGTGCGCCCGATCGACGCCGTTTTCGCCGGGAAGTTGCAGTAATTGCGCGGCAAAGTAGATTCCGCCTCTCGCTCATTCATCGCGCGACGACTAAACAATAACAAATATTTGGTTCTGCCGACGCGGTAGGAGGCGCATTTAATTTATCCGTTCGCTTTTAACTTCCACAACGGCGTTAGTCGAGAGAGAGAGAGAGAGAGAGAGAGAGAGAGAGAGAGAGAGAGAGAGAGCGGTGGGGAGTTAACGGCTTTAAATTGCTCCGCTAACTTGAAATCGCGGTTCTGGATGAGACCGCGCGTACACCGCCATAAGCGCGCCGTAAAATACGCCGCGGCGAGTCGCTGTTATTTTCGGCTTCCCCCTCCCCCGTACGTGACCCGATTAATCAATAACGACGATTGTCCCGACTCGACGTATATCGTGTCGGCTTGTATTATAGAAGCGAGCGCGACCGTTACCCGCCTCTCGAGTTCATCAAGCCCGCGGACGCTTCGTAAATTGTCGCGTTTAATCCCAGGAAGTAAGAACCGCGCCTTTACGGTAGGCTTTTCTCTTTTCCTTCTTTTTTTTTTTAGTACGAGTACTAAACCGTAACGGCCGTAGCAAAATAAACGAATGAAAAGTAAAGGAAGTAAAGGAAGTGCAGACACAGATAGGAGGAGGAGCAGAACGGACGGTATCCGTTGCTATCTAAATTAAGTAGAACCGAGCGCCCTCCGTATGCGCGGGCAGGAGATAGAAAAAGGGAGGGAGTGAGAGAGAGAGAGAGAGGAGGGGGGAGGGAAAGAGTTTCTGCTTGTTTTCGAATAAATCGTGCAATCTACCTAGAATTTTACGCGCGCGCACTTGGCAACGCGTTATTTAAACAACGCCGCGAATACGACGCCGGCTTTCTTCGCTCGGCTTTACTCCCGCACGAGCAATTCTTCTCGCTGAACATTCCATCGCACCCTCTTGGATTCGGTGGGAGCTTTGCTCCTACTTAGTAAAGAAGGGCTTCTACCAGGCTGCTCGCGCGCTGAGATAAAGCCGCCGCGCGTGTACGAATACAAAACACCCAAGTGTCTCGATCCGGGCAAATGTACGCTGCTCGCTGCCGTAATTCAATCGATATATTACAGGGCGTTACGCGTATACGCAACGTTTGGCCATGATGCGACATGGTTGCAGTTATTGGTTTATGCACCGCCTCTCGCACAGCATAATTATATTTTACGATAATGGATTTAAAATCCGTGCTGCGGGAGGGAGGGAGGGAGGGAGAGAGGGGGAGGACGGGGAAGGAAGAGCACACCGGCGAATGGCGCATGACGCTCCATCAAGTATCACCGCGGAATTTATTAGAAGCCGAAGAGGCAAGCTGCTGTGAAAATCGCACAGCGAGAGGATATAACGCGGTTAAAAAGAACAGGCAGGATCGACGAGAAACAATACGAACTTTAATCGCTGCGCCGCGTCCCATTGAATTATCCCGCTCGGTATATCTCCGAGGATTTCTCGCGCCAAGTTCCTCTCGTTACCGTGTGTCCTCTCTTAACGCAAAGCGACCGCGTTACGCTCGACGGATCCGCTGCGCGCGACGCGATTTATCGCGCTATTTATTCGATTCGAGCAGCGCGATGCAATTGGGAGCGCGATTGGCAGAGTTTATTTGCGAATTACAAGGCGCGCGCGCGCGCGCGCGCGCGAGCGAGTAGACACTGCGTTGATTTCACGTCGTTTATATGTGCAACGATAAAACGCGCCATTCGGTAATGACCTCTGCGCGATAAGATAGTGGCCAATTTGCAGTAACTCGGTCTCACGGCACCTCCGACGCCGTCGTCGCTCGAAATATCGTCTCTTTAAAGCATGAAACCGGCTCCCGTCGTTGATACGTCGCGCCGCTCTATATTCATCAGCGAAAGAGAAGGGGGGGGGATAAAAATATAGTCACGACGTTCTGCGGTTAGCGAGGAAATAAGACGGAACGTTACACAACGGCCTCCATTGACGAGCCTCTCCGCGACTGTCGTTTAATCGCGCGCCGCCAAGTTTCGGCGAGCTTTCAGTTTGGGAGCAGCTCGTAAAGGCCACTCTCATTACGCCGTGCATTTATCTGCGACGCATATTGCGAGTACCGAGAAACGAGAGGAGAGAGAGAGAGAGAGAGAGAGAGGGAGAGAGGAGAGAGAGGAGAGAGAGGCGGAAAGACCTATTTGTCTCGCCAAAGTGACTTCCCATATTTTCAGAACTGCCGTTCCACGTCCGAAATTTCCGAGGTCTCGCTTGCGCGAAGTAGCCGATGATTTAATGCATTGTGCGTGTTTGAGAGTGGCGCGCTGACGGCGAAGATTAAATGCATCTCGTATCTCGCGAGATCGTATCTCGCGTATCTCCAGCGAGAAGCTCGTATGATAATTGTTTGCCGGCAAAAAGATCCGCCAAGGTAATCGTACAAGGGAGATTAAGATAGGCGTGTGTTTTGCATCCATCGGGCTGCTGTAACGTCGCCAAATTGCACGCCGCTGCCACGTCTAATTTGAGCGACTCGCCGTTCATTGTCGCGCGTCGACGGACGCAACGCGATTTTTCGATAATTATGAGCTGAAGAAAATACACATTCTCCTTATTTTACGATATAATAATATCCTGCCGCTCTATCAATCTCACGCAATTGTATATAAAACGGAGGACATATGTGATATAAATGTACTACGCTTCATTTTATCAAAACTAAACTAACGCGCGAACACACACACACACACACACACACATATAACGGATAAAAAGATACTCCAACAAATTTGCGCGTATTCGTAAAAAGGTCTCTCACGAAATAATATTTGGCTTATATTCCACAATTGGACGATTTATCGTACGGCACAAGTCAGATTAGCGCGGAGGGTCATTTGCCAGGTCACATGCAATTTACGTCACGGTAACCATAAACACAAACATCGATACACGCGCAAGAGGAAGATTCGCGGCGTAGAAACAAAGAGCAGAAACGAAGAAACGATGATCGTCCCATGATGAACGGGACATTTCACGAATACGAACCAACTCGTTCGACGGAGACAATTCGTTGTAAACGTCGCATGCTCGGGGTCCGAACTCAGCTCTTCTTCGTCAGTTCTTCTTGGATCTGCTGCAACGACTTGCCCTTGGTCTCGGGCAAGCAGAGTATCGTATACGGGATCGCGGTCAACAATATCAGCGCGTAGCCGAAGAACACGTACTTCTCGGTGAGCAGATCGATAAGAGGCTGATAAGTCGCCGTGGCTATGAAAGAGAAGATCCCAGTGGCGATGCTGTTGAAACACGCGGCCACGCACTTGACGTGCGGCGGGAAGATCTCGCCCAGCACCGCGTTGGGCACCGGGAGCATGCCCACGAAGATTGATATTTGGAAGAGTATCATAGAGAAGATTGGCAAGCCCTGCAAAACGGCGGAATCGTAGCCCACGTCGAGAAGCTGGAACTGTAAACCGAGGCAAGCCACCGAGATGGCGCAAGCCAAGCTGGAGCTGATCATCAAGATACGCCGGCCGAATTTCTCGATAAAGAACATGGAGACGAAGGAGCTGGCGATCCCAGAAGCGGTGACAATAATCACCACTATCGCCGGCTGAATGACGGTCACTTGCGCAGTTGTCAGGATGATCTCCATGTAGAAGATTATGCTGTTCAAGCCGCACAACATGCTATACATGAAGAGCACAATTACGAGTAGTAGCGCCTTGCTGATGTGCGCGTTCTTGAATTCCCCGAGAATAGACATGAACGGTAGATTGTTGTTCATCTCGATGAACTTCTTCAAGCCCTGCAGCTCCATGTCCACGTCGCAGTTGCGGTGATACCAGAGCAACGCCAGCCGCGCCTTGTCTTGTTGCTTGGTCTTGATGAGATGATGCGGCGATTCCGGCAACCACGTGAAGATGACCATCACTACAACGCAGAGCAGGAGGCACGCTATAGCGGAGACCTCCATCGTCAAATATGCGCCCATGATGGAGATCATCAAATTGCCTATCGTTAATCCACTTACAGCTGCAAGAAGAAGAAAGTGTTCCTTGCCGATTTGCACACTAGTAACTCTGTTATCGAGCTGCATTTGCAGCTCTCGCGATTTTTCCACGACTTTCCGGACAAAGAGCTCCCGCGGCCCCGAGCAGTGCTTCGTGCGATTAAATTCGCTCGAAAACATTTCGGACGGTAGTTTGATCCGGCATGACATTTCGTCCTATCGGTAGTTTATCGCGAAATAAGAATCGTCGACAAGCCTATGTCTAAACATTATTTATCTCCTTGTCTGTATGGATGAACTTGCAATCTCGTAGACATCTCTAAAGATACATTTCTTATCACACATCCTAATTCGCATCATCATTAAATCCGAGAGGAGACTTTTACCGTTACCGCATGATAATTCATCGATTATTTCCAACGTCTCGTAAAGTCATCATTATTAGAATCGCGTTGCACAAGTATCCAGCAAGATCTGCGCTCGCACGTACACATGTATCGGCGTACCTAGAACGACCAAGGCTCCGCGGATGGTAGGATCCGCGATCTCTCCCAAGTAGATCGAGAAACTGCTATACGTCATTCCCAGGCTGACGCCGGCTAAAGATCTAGCGGCGTACAACCATTCTACCCGATTAGCCACGATCGTGAGGACCCAGCACACCGCCATCGGAAAACTGGTGACCAAGACGGTTGTCTTGCTGCCGAGGTAGTTTACGGCGGCGGAACCGGTAATCGCACCGATTAGCCGACCCAAATTTAACAGGGAAGTTACCCAGGATGCTTCATTCATCGTTATTGAAATGTGAGATTCGGGAGCAGTCAGATAAGCGAGGTACGGTGAGCTCCAAGCGATCGTCAGGCCGATTTGCAGCATCAGAAAAGTCACTGGAATCAGGTCGCGTTAGTCTCATTAGACGCTCATTAATCGTCGGTTTTAATCGGCAACTCATTGCACTTCGTGCTCTTTTTCTACTTCGGTAGTTCTCTCCTCTCGCCGCTCTCCCCCCTCTCCCCCCTCTCTCTCTCTCTCTTTCTGCTTTCGTCTACGCGTCGAGATTCGCTCGGGTAGGGATTAATATTCACGAATATCGGTAAAGTATAGAATAAAAATCCGCGACAGCCAGGCGTATTTTTATATTCGATATATTCGAGAGAGGGTTCACTTTTTCTCGAAGACGTACGGATATATCTTACCTCCGATACCAGCGAGCCATTGAGGCCACATGACCCTCTTGGTTACCACCTTTTCTGTTCCATGATCCATGTTGACTCTGCTGAATGCTCTCTACGACTGAGCCTTCAGAGAATCGAGCGTATCTTCGCTACTGTAGGATCGTCGAGATTCAAAAGATACGCATTTTGTCTTAGAGATAAATGATGCAAACATTTCGTGACCGACATGATTCGTCTTATTATTCCGTCTTCCGATATAGCGCGAAGCATCGGTGAGCTTTTATCGTTTTTCTCTCTCTCTCTCTCTCTCTCTCTCTCTCTCTCTCTCTCTTCTCACGTTCCCGCGTTCGTTAATCGTGTTTTTGCAAATTGCACGTGCGCGTTTTAAATTTGAAAATGAGATAGTCTTGAATGTGCATTTGTTAAATGTTACGAATTTGAGATGTATTAGGGTGATTAAAGTATTTAACTGACGGTTAATGGAGTGCACTTTATTGGACGATATTAATTGAAATTTTCCGGGGCCAGTGATCACTCGATGACAAATTAATTATATTAATTTACGCAATCTCGGCTACATCGTGTTGCCAGCGGTGAGGTTAGACTTTTAAAAACATTTTCAGGATTATTCATCATTACGAATGACATCACATAACGATGATAAATAAAAGAATTGATAAGATTCACTATAGGATCCCTAAAATAATTACTTGAATATTAAATATGTTAAAAGTAATAATTATTGCATGTAAATTTTATCAATTTGCCAAACTGTATTTTTTTCACCTGATTTTAAATCAAACTTGATTTATGCTGATATCTGATTTGAGTTCCCACGATTTTATATTTTTACGTAAAATATTTCGTATGACATTTTTCGTTATTATTATGAGTCTCTTTTTATGAAACAAACTTTTTTTATGAAACAATTTCCCGAGTATCTGTAATTAGATATTTATCGAACGGCGTTTCAATTTTTCTTCGTACGTTGAATTATCTTACGGTTTTAGAGTATTCCGTAAGGACGTATGGATCTATACAAACGTATACTCTAAATTTTTCTTGAATAATTAATTTCTTGGCCATTTTCATTCGATTATTTTAATGGAAACCTTATTCCTTTTCACTTCGAACTTGCGCGTCACTTTCGACCATCCTAAGATTCAGTCGCTAAACCGACCAGCACAACCATTTTTGTTTTTTTCTGTTTACACTCTTTTATTCTCTCTCTTTCTCTCTCTCTCTCTCTCTCTCTCTCAACGCTTATTTTTATCATTGTTTCTATATTACACTAGCAATATTTACAATATTAAAAATAATCCATACTTAATAATGACACATACTTTTCGCGATCGTTCTGCTAGTATCGATTACATATTGCTAATTATTAATTTCCCCAATATTACGCGCGCGTGAAGAGATTTAATTTGCTAAATTATCTTCGCTCTTGCCACGGTTCTTTTCTCCCGCCCTCTCTTTGTTAGTTTTGGTAGACTCATCATTACTTATTACATCACTGATAATTGATGTTCAATCTTTATATATCAAAGCCGGAATAATAGTCTAGATCGTGTAAATATATATAATTTATCGTGGCTGATCAATTTACGTTAACATACCGAACTATTATTTTCATGCGGAATTATGTTCATGCGTATAACAGAAAATTACATTTCGATGTTATCGCACTCAATATATTCATCTGCGATGTTTTTCTTTTTGCTTTTGGCAGTATCACGAATTAATATAGGGTGTCGCGGAATAATTGTGCCCTACGTCGTGGAAGTGTAGAACAGATTAAGGCGAACAAAAGAGTGCCGTTTTCCGCAATAATTAATAAGGTATTAATTACAGCAAACCTTGCGCGCGTAAAGATGATAGGGGATAAACGTTTCAGCCGTTCTTGGGCTGTAGTTCGATTCAGTCGTTCTAGCAACTGTTACCGTCGCACCGCGCCAAGAGAAGGAAAACACACCGCTGCATATGAGCTTATCTCACCTCTCTTGCGTCTCGCCGTACCGCGTCCAAACTCGATCTAGGTGCTACATACTCGTGATTACAATTATGAGATCATTTTATGAGATAGCAGAAATGGCTCATATCGAAATCGTTAAATATTCTGTGAACAAAAAGTCGAAAGATCTTTCGACTTTCATCTTCGAGATCTTTCAATTTCATCATTCGGCGGAGCAATTCGTTGTCGTAAATGGCACGTTGCTTGCGGCCCAGACTCAGCTCTTCTTCGTCAGATCTTCTTGGATTTGCTGCAACGACTTTCCCTTGGTCTCGGGCAGGTAGATTAACATGTACGGAATCGCAGTCAACAATATCAGCGCGTAAACGAAAAATATGTACTTCTCGGTGATCAGATCGATGAGAGGCTGATAAGTCGCCGTGGATATGAAGGAAAAGATTCCCGCGATGATGTTGGTGAAACACGCGACCACATTCTTGACGTGCGGCGGGCAGATCTCGCCCAGTACCGTGTTGGGCACCGAGAGCATACCTATGAAGACTGCAACTTGGAACAGTATCATCGCGAAGATCGCCAAGCCCTGCAAAACGGTGGCGTCGTAGCCCGCGTCGAGAAGGTGGAATTGTAAGCCGAGACAGAGCAACGAAATGACGCAAGCCAAGATAGAGCTGATCATCAGAAAACGCCGACCAAACTTGTCGATAAGGAAAAAAGACAAGATGGAGCCAGCAATCCCGAAAGCGGCAACGATAGTCACAATTATCGCCGGCTTGATGACAGTCACTTGCGCATTTGTTAGGATAATCTCCATGTAAAAGTATATGTTGTTCAAGCCGCACATCATGCTGTACATAAAGAGCATCGTTAGGAGTACCAATGCTTTCCTGAGGTGTGCCTTCTTAAATTCTCCGAGGATGTTGATGAACGATAGATTGTTGTTCGTTTCGATGAACTCCTGCAAAGTCCGCAGCTCCATGTCCACGTCGCAGTCGCGGTGATACCAGAGCAACGCCAGCCGCGCCTTGTCCTGTTGATTGGTCTTGAGAAGATGGTGCGGCGATTCCGGTAACCATATGAAGATAATCATCACTACGAAGCAAAGCAGGAGGCACGCTATACCGGAAACCTCCATCGTCAGATATACACCCATGGCGGAGATTATCAAGCTGCCTATCGTTGATCCGCTCATAGCTGCAAGAAGAAGAAAGTCTCCTTTTGCACACGTAGTTCTGTTATTGAACCGCACCCGCAGCTCTGGAGATTTTTCCATGACTTTTCGAGCAAGGAACTCTCTCGGCCCCGAGAGCAATGCAGCGCATTCGAGACGCTTCAGACTATCGTGCGACTAAATTCGCTGAAGGCTTCCGAGATGGAAGTTTAAATCAGTGCGACGCTTCGTCTTATCAACGCTTTATCGCAAAATAAGAAGGAAGCGTGCGAGCGAAAATAACTTATCTCGCTAACATGTAGATGAAGTTGCAATCGCGTAAATGAAATTCTTTCTAACGATTTTTGTCACACATTTGCATACCCTAACCATAGACATAGGAATATAAGGACAGAGCATAAACCCGTAAGATAGGCGAGAGGAGTTGTGCTGAAATGCGGGGGTGACTGTGCCTAAGTTTCATCGACTACAATAGTGCATATATTCAGAGCGTGTGATGCAACGACTTGGCTATCATTGGCAAATAGTAAATGTAACAAAATGATAAGAACCATTTACACTGACAGTATTTTGCAGAGGTTATGCATGCGTCATTTTTTCGTAATTTCACTCACACACACAACTTCATACACATCTATGTATGTATCAAATACTTACACACGGCGCAACCACCAATTAGATTTAGGCACAGTTTACCTCGTCGCACCGTCCCGCAATGGTTATCCCCCCGCAACTCGATGCTCTGTCCCTATATTCCTATGTCTATGACCCTAACTCGCGCCATGATTACATCTGACAGAAGACATCCGGAAGCGTTTTTGTATTTCTTAGAATTGCGTTGCACAAGTATCGAGAAAGATCTGCGTGCGCACACACATAAAAATGTACGGGTATTAGCGTACCTAGAACGACTAGGGCTCCGCGGATGGTAGGATCCGCGATCTCCGCCAGGTAAAGCGAGAAACTGCTGTACGTCATTCCTATATAGATGCCTACTAAAAACCTCGCAGCGTATAGCCACTCCACCCGATTAGCCGCGATCGTCAAGATCCAGCACATTGCTATTGGAAAACTGTTGATCAAGATCGTTGTCTTGCTGCCGAGGTAGCTCACGGAGACAGAACCGAAAATCGCACCGAATATCCGGCCGAAATTTATCAGGGAGACCACCCAGGACGCTTCCTTCATCGTCATTGAAATATAAGACTCGGGTGAAGTCAGGTAGGCGATGTACGGCGAGTTCCAAGCGAGCGACAGGCCCATTTGCAGCATCAGAAGAGCCACTGGAATCAGGTCTCATTAGTTTCACTAAGTGTTCATTAGTCGCCGGTTTTAATCGGCAACTTATCGCGCACTCGCACTTTTACATTTTTCCACTCTCGATAGAGCGATAATTCTCTCCTTTCTCTCTCTCTCTCTCTCTCTCTCTCTCTCTCTCTCTCTCTCTCTCTCTCTCTCTCTCTCTCTCTCTCTCTCCCTCTCTCTCTCTCTCCCCCTCTCTCTCTGCTTTCGTCTACGCGTCGAGATTCACTCGGGTAAGGAATATCACTCGTGAATATCGGTGAATTATAGGATAAAAAACCACGTTAGCCAGGTGTATTTTTAATTGATATATTCGAAAGAGGGGGTTCTCTCTTGAAGATGATACATATCTTACCTCCGATACCAGCGAGCCACTGGGGCCACATGACCCTCTTGGTTACCACTTTTTCTGTCTTATGATCCATGTTGATTCTGCCGATAACTCTTCACGACTGAAACTGCAGAGAGTCGAGTATCTTCGCTAACGTGGAATCGTCGTGATTATAAAATGACATAGCACGCATTTTGTCGTCAAGATAAATGATGCAAACACTTCGTTACGAAAATGATTCATTTTATTATTCTGTCTTCCGATATGGCGCGAAGCATCGGCGGGCTCTTATCGTTTCTCTCTCTCTTCTCACGCTCCCGCATTCGTTAATCGTGTTTCTGCGAGAATTGTTCATGCGTGTTTATTAAATTTAGAAGTAAAACAGCTGTGTGTGCTGCGTGTGCATTTTTTAAGTGGTATGTATTTCCGGATGTATCAGGGTGATTAAAGTAATTATCGAAACATAGCGGTTAATGGATTGCGCTTTATTGAACAATGTTAATTGGAATTTTCAAAGGCCAACGATTACTCGTTGAGAAATTACATTAATTCGCACAATCTAGGCCGATCTACACCATGTTTACCGGCGATAACGTTGGACCTTTTGTAAGATATTCAGGATCATTTATCATCAGGATGTGACATCACGCGAAGACGATAAATAAGGGGATTGATAAGATTCAGTATATACACCGCTATACATGTGAAACAGTTTCTTGAGTATTAAAAGTATCAAAGCAGCTTGAGCAATTATCGCATAAATTTCTACATTTCATCTGCTTGTCGAGCCGCTCTTGTTCATCTGATTTTAGATCAATTGTGATCTGTGCCGTTGACGTCTGATTCGAGTTCCCACGGTTTTACGTATAACAGTTTACGTTCTGAGTTGTTTCTTTACGAAGCAAAATTTCTCGAATATCCATAATTAAATATTTATTGAATGGCGTTTCAATCTCTCTCTCTCTCTCTCTCTCATCGTGGAATCATTTTATCGGTGTAGAGTGTTCCGTAAAAATATGTGGTTCTGCACAAAAGTATCAGATTGACCAAACTTTCCTCGATTCCTGCCACCGACCGACCGACGACCGATTGATAGTTTTTTCATGTACTTGACGTGTACGCGACGTTACCGCTGGCTTCCGCTACGGTAAATATAATAATAGAGAATTATAAAGCAGACTCAGTATCCACTTGCATTAGGCAGTTAACAAGAACGAAAATCCCGGCGGCGATGCGCACGGGAAAAAGGCGTGTAATGAATTTACACGTTCTTTTTTCCGCGCAAAACCACGGATGCGTTCTCGACCGTCCACGACCGCGACAGTGCGACGCTGTCTCGCTTTTTCCGCTCGCGGGAAATCTCGTGCGTGATATTTAAAATTAGCGCTCGTTGCGGCACGCGCAGAATCTTATGCGTTCCCGCAGACGCGCGCGAGAACATGCGCTCCTTGGGAATCGATGTTTTGCGTTATAGATCTTTTTCTTACTCGTAACTTTTCTTTCTATCACGATTGGCACTGTCATTTCGATCGAACGTCACTTGCGTGTGAACAATCGATATTAAATTAATTTCCTAACAGATAAATGACATTCTGCACAAATGTACGTCTGTTTGCACGAATGCGCGAATAAGAGGAGTTCGATTCCTTTTCTCTCTCTCTCTCTCTCTCTCTCTGTGTCTCTCTCTCTTTTTTTTTAATTTAATAAAATTCGTTTGTAACAAGGAGTTGCAATTTCAGTTCGGACGAAATATAAAGCTTTGAAACAAAACGCCCGACAACGACGTGATGTTGGGTGCGGAAAAATCCGCGATATTTTTATGCGCTTGCAAAAGTAATCAAGCTTTGTAACGGTACACTGATGCTGTCAACAGCATCATTTACAAACATACCACGCGCATTAAGTACACACGTGGCACCGCACGATATATAGAAGAAAAAAAGTCCCGACGTTTTCGGCTTGCGAGTGAAGCGAGTCATCCGCAAATTGAGCGCGCGACACGTCCTACGGTATTCGCCCTCGCAAAAATCGTTGTGCTCGATGTGGCTCCGCGGCTGCGGAGAGCTGTATAAACCGCGTTGCGTTCCGTTGTCCTCGCGTAAAGCAACCTGCAACTTGGCCAAACAAGCCGGATCTGTCATCTCAGACAAGCCTCAGTCTCGCATAACCGCGCGTCTTTGCCGGATCTTCCTCTTTGACGATGATGCGAGTGTGCAACGCGCTTAGCAACGAACACATCCCGCGGCTGCCGAACGGCGCGGCGGGCGGCGCAACGGCGCAACGGAAGGAATGATAATATTTCCACGCGAGATTTCCTTGCGCCCATGTTATTTGCATTAAGGCGGCGGCCTTTGCGAAAATTTAATGCACTTTCGCTTTGTGTACACTCGGCCCGCGTCGGAAGGAATATCTCTCGCTCTCTGCGAGCGCGTGAGCAGTCAACTTTATCTGCATTCTTAACACGCGACACGCTGTTCTTCTACACTGCCTATTATGATTCAGATTTGTGCCAAATTTTATCCTTCTCCCTCCCTCTGCTGGTAAACCGCTTAACGTTCTGCGGCATTCGCGAGCATCTGTGACGAGTAATCGACTACGATTACGATCGGCGTGTGTGTGTGTGTGTGTGTCTCGGACACGTGACGTTAACGCACCGACGAAAATCTCCGGCGATCTCCACGTGACGATGGAATTCGTTGGACGTTTCATAGCACTCGTCTGCTCTCGTTAGCCCACGCGTCTCGTTAAAAAGAGCGCTCTTTCGCGCACACTCGCCGCTTTTAACGAACATCAAGCGGATTTTCCACCGTAATCGAGGACAACAGCTGAATACACGGCTCGAGAGTCTCAGTGTTTAGTTCTCAAGAAACGTTGATTCGACTGATTGCCGCTGAAGCACTTTATTTCCTCCTCCACCCCCTGCAACCTCTCCTCCTTCTCCGGTAAGCAGCCACCGATAGTACACCTCGCTATGGGGACGAACGTGAGATTGTTGCGCGGATCTCGAGACGGGGTCGATCTTCCGAAGGCATCCTTGCGACGGGCGGCGGAGCGCTCCCGAAAGCCGGACTAAATTAAATGACAAATTTGTCTCCCTTTTGCTGCACGGCGGTGTGGGGCAGCCGAGAAGTGTCCTCCGTTCTTGCGCGTCCCTGACCTTACGCCCGCGGGGATAATGGCTTTCGAAATAGCAGTCTTGGAAGTCTCTTCCAAGGTACTTCATCGCTCGTCATCCCGGCGCAGCGCGGCGCGGCGCGTCGCATTGCGTTGCCTCACGTCGCGTCGCGTCGCGTCGCGTCGCGTCGCGTCGCATCGCGGCTCCTCTCCATCCGGCGTGAAGGAGAGGCCAGAAGTGGGTGGAGAGTGCGCTCCGTTGTGGTATACACGGCATTGTCTATACGCGACGAGTTTATGGCTTCCGACATCCCTACTTTCGCGTCTACCCTGTACCTACAAGCCCCATTTCGACTACCCTCGTCCCCTGTCCGCCGCGGCTCCGCCGCGTTGTTGCAGCTGCCGCTGCTGGTGTAACGATAGCCGTTAACCGATCGGGGCTCTTGCGGGACACTCATTACGCAAGCCTCATTATGCGATTAGCGCGTGACGCAAGGAGCGAATTTTCTTTCGCGTCGCGCAGCAGCGTTCTCGCGCGACCCACCGCCACGGGATGATCGCCGAGGTCGCGTACGACGCAGAATTGGGGATCCTCGGCTCCTGCGCCGAGTTCCAGGGTCTTCAGTCGCCGCCGGCATTTCGCCGACTGGATGCGAGCGCAGCTTTCAGGCGACATCAATCTCGGTCTCGTGCGTATAAATGCGCGTGGTCGCGATGAGAAAACACGGAAAGTCCGGGTCGCAGATTCGTATTTTGATTGGCGCTCGTACGTTACGAATCGTTGCGTACTCGTTCCCGTCCGTGTTCTCGAGTGCTTTATCAATATCGCCGACCGCGCTGCGCGTAATGTTAAATACGAATCGCGCGCGGCCGACGATATCGAGGGTCCCGCGGGATCCAGTCAAGGCAAGAAGTAGCCATTTTCCGACTCGATTGCCCGCGATATCTCTTGCCCGCGAACGGGGAAGCACGCCTACGCGGGTATTTCCTGTAAATACGAGCGGGCCGGAGTCACGTTTCCTGGGTAGACGAGAGGACGCTCTGCGTGCCGCTAAATGTGGCGCCAGAGAGTTGCACGGGACTTCCTGCGCGCGGACCGAGCGTACAAAGTGGCGACTCGTGTTGCGCGCCAATGAGCATTAACGCACGGGGGCGCTCGTTATTTGCCTCAGCAGCTGCTGAATATGTTATTAACGACATTAACGTGTTTATTATTAACTCGCTCGTAAAAAGTACCGACGCTGCCCCGTACGATGCCGCGGCCTCTTCCCTCGGCTCGTCTCGTTCACCAGAATGAACGAACGAACCCGCTCGACTGAGGCGCTGACTCTCTCTCTCTCTCTCTCTCTCTCTCTCTCTCCTCTCTCTCCTCTCTCTCTGTCTCGATGACACCTTGGCGAAATTCGCGGAGGACTTCATTCAGCACGGACGAGCGAGACGCTCATTGGCGCAACGAATCGTCTGAAATCTTTCCGCCAGACAAATGCTCGGGGATTGTAGAACGGACGGGATCAGGGCGGATTACGCGCGACGCACAGCTTCTCTCTCGGTTATCCCCAAAACTATTTGCTGAACAAATCGACAGGTGGAATATTCGGGCTGTTCGCGTAAATTCGATACTCCTCGCGCGCGCATACGGAGGTAGTTGTACACGACGAGTTAATCGATTTACTTTGACATGACTGGCGCTCCGTTCTCGAGGAAGACGAAAGAATCGGCCCGGCGTGATAGGATCTTCCCTGATCTCGACGACGTGTACCCACCATGCGTACCACTCGAGCGAAGGTGTATTTGATAATAAGCACACCTGACGAAATTCAATTATACGACTCCCGTGGGCGGGTAACCCAATTTGCACGTCATCAAGCCGCACGGCGAAACTAGTTCGAAGAGCCCGGTATACAGGGTCTACCTATATCAAATATTGAAGTTCCCGGATTGCACTGGACTGCCCTCGGGGACGCCAAATAACCGTTACCGACCCCGAACGGGCGGCTGCGATTCGTCTGAACGACACGTAATTGCTCGTAATCTAGCGCGACGCGGTCGTGTCGCAGAAATCGGCAGCGCGCTGGAGAATGCCATGCCGAGAGAGAGAGAGAGAGAGAGAGAGAGAGAGAGAGAGAGAGAGAGAGAGAATTCGCCAACATTATCGGCAAACGTTGCTCAAAAGCAGTTTGTGAATTTGGATTGAGGGCAGTCCGTGCGAATATTTCGTCCGCGCACTCTTTCTCTCTTTCTCCCTTTCTCTCTTTCTCTTTCCCGCTCTCCGTATTACCGCGGTGATTCGTGCGCGGTCCTTAAATACGATTAAAGAGCAAAGCACTGAATTACATTGGCGACGCGATCAGGACACGCGGGGCGCATCCTCGATGTGTTTTACACGCGCCTTTCGATGGAAAATTACAACGCGTTGAAATGTTCCTCTGTGTTCCGAGAGAAACGATTCTCGATTGGCCGTTTGATCTTATCGTCGTCCGCTCTCTCTCGCTGGCCATTGACGCGTTGGCCGTTGCACAAACCTCGATTAAACGGCCCTGCTGTATTCACGAAGTTCAATCTTCTTTAGCGAGTACGCGTTTAATGAGGACGACGATGCACGCGCCGCGTATTACCGAAATATCGTTAATTGCATTTTATACATATATCGGAGCGCGACGCGCTGATATCGCGGCGTTAGTCACGCGGTGATATTCAAACGCGAGTTAATTACGGTATTTATTGCAGCATCAACGATATATCCGCGAAGCAAATCGATATAACGCGAGGAGCGCGCGCGTTCGTTGTGCTTCGTGAAATTTGTGCCGAGCCGCGTGTAATTGTCGCGCGTCCGCGATAAGACGATAACGCACTATTTTTTTCAATATTAATTATTAGTCCAGCTTCCTTCTGTCTTTCTTCCACCTACTCTCTCTCTCTCTCTCTCTCTCTCTCTCTCTCTCTCTCTCTCTCTCTCTCTCTCTCTCTCTCTCTCTCTCTCTCTCTCTCTCTCGTCGATTCTCCTTCCCTCCTTTCCGGTGCTCCACTTTGTCGATAGGGAAACTTCTCGACGTCTCCTTTGGTGTCGCCGTCAAACGATCACGATCAAACGAACCGCAGAAGGCGCGAGTCCTCACACCTGATTCACGTCCATTTCTGTGTCGCTAATGCATGACGTCAATCGGGCACATTCCGCTAATTACTCCGCTCGACGAAGTTCAAGTTGATTTAATTCGCAGAAGCGACAGACGCAGAGTGTGAAACGATCATAGTTTCACGCGCGATTTTCCACGGCCGAATCGCCCTCGTCTTCTCATTTCTACGTTATTTTTCCTCCTCTTTCCATTTCGAACAAGAACGTTCAACTTCGTTTGATTCTAAATTCGTTTAGTTAAGCGAGATAATTGGAATTCTCCGTTACCGGCACGCGCGCTCGCGCGATGGCATCTGTCGAAGTTTTTACGCGTCAACGGGTCTCGCCTCTGTGTTACGCTCTGTCTTTGTGCGAATAAATTAAACGTGAGATATGGCCGTGTCTTTTAAAAGTTCCGGGAATTTATACGGACGTGTTCTCCCTTCTGCTCCGTATTACTTATCGCGAGAATCCACGTTGCTCGAACCTTTTTCCGCTGTGAATCTCGCCTCCTCTCTCTCTCTCTCTCTCTCTCTCTCTCTCTCTCTCTCTCTCTCTCTCTCTCTCTCTCTCTCTCTCTTTCTCCCCTTCCTCTCGCCCGCTCGCATATATATTCAACCTGAATGTATGACATGCGACCATTTTTCTATTCCAATCGCTACCCCTGATTGAGCGCAACGGCGAGTAATAAGGCGTAAAAAGCTATTAGATTGGCCGACGAGATCCTCCATTTCGCGCTCCTTCTATCCCCTCGTCCTCGAGAGATCCTCGCGTCTTGAAAGGCTTTCGACTCCGCCGATGACGTGGACTGGAGCGCGCGAAACGACGGCTGTAAGACCGGTTATCTCTCTCGGTTGTCATTCTCTTGTCCGCATGCGTCCACATCTCTCCGATTCACTCGAGCGGCCATGTTTGCAGCCGAGAAACCGATCGGTTCTCGGCCGACATATCGCTCACTATGACGAAAAAGATGCCGATTGCTCGTAAAGGAAAAAGGCTCGGAATTTTGCTCGCAGCGTAATTGTCGAAGCCGAACGCATCTCGGGCGCACGAAGGAAGAAAACGGAATTCCTCGCTCTCGGAAATCGAATTCGCCTCGTAATGCGCAAAATTCCTGGGAGATGGACGCTGACGTTGAACGGTTGGGGCAAGCCGGCGGCCCTGACGCGACGTGCAGCAGCGACAGAAAATTCCGCGCGCGCGAGCGAAGGGTCAACATCGTCTCGTAGTAATAGACACCGGCGAGAAGAGCGCGGCGGTTTCGCGAAGGTGGCGGCGGAGGTGACGGTCGGGTGGTGGTGGGTGGTGTGGTGCTGCTGTGGGTGGTAGGTCGACCGCGCGGGGACCAGGGAATAGCCTCGGGGTTAGGGGCTGACGGGTCGAGGCGGGCGGAAAAGGGGCGACTCCGGCAGTCAGCGGGTTAGTGCCGCTCCGTGCGGGCGTCGCGTGTGCGTGCCGCGCACTACCCTCGTGAAATTCCGCCGAGAGGAGAGTGTGAGGGAGAGAGGGAGAGAGAGAGAGAGGGAGGAGCGAACGAGAGAGCGAGAGAGTTCTCGCGCTCGTTATCGCGTCGCGGATCACGTGCCCACGCATATTTCGCGCGCGCAACGGGCGCGTTCGGAACGTTCCGCTCCAGCCCTATCGACCTCGAAGCAGCGGCGAGTTCTCCCGCACGTCGTCGCTCGTTGTCGCAAATTCCCCGGCGACGGAGAACTGTCGCGCGACTCTCTCTTTCGGCGGTCGCGTCGCGCGAGTGATCGGCGCGTGTAGCGCAGGATTACGAAGTGATTACTGGCGCGACGAAGCCAGGCGGCTGCCGAGCCGCATCGGTACAGTGTCGTCGTCTGTGCGGTCGAGGAAGAAGCTGTGTTCGTCGAGGACGCTCGCTAGGATGATCCGCGGCTAATCCCGCGGAGTGTCGCCCGACGCCTGCGAATCTTACCGTGCTCGCGATTTTAGTGCGCCAAGCGCGCAACGACGCGAGAAGAGAGTTACGAGAGTGAGTCCCGGCGCGTTGTGAACGCGCGGACTTTTGACAGTGCCACCCCGCGAAGCGTGAAGAAGCTTTTACGCACGTTTTACGGAGAGGTCCGCTCGTGACGTGACTTTCGTCTCTCCGCTGCGAACGCAAGACGCGACGGCGTTACCGTTGCGTTGTTATCCGAGACGCGAGCTCCTTGGAAAGCTCGCGCGCGATTAATGAGGGAGAAATTTCTTGTCGTTTCGCGGAAGCCGCGCTCGCGCGCGGAATTAAGTAATCTCTTTTCTCGCGCGCGCACGACGGTCGCGGAAAACGACGGGAAAGCTGCGCGCGGCCGCATTACTCGCGTGTCTCGCGAGTTCACTTCCGCCTGGCTTCTCTGCGCCACTTGGACTTTTCGCGAAGTGTCGTCGTTGTCGTCGTCGTCGTCGTCGTCGTCGTCGTCGTCGTCGTCGTCGTTACTGTGTCTGGCAATTAGCGACGTGCGTCGCGCGGTAATTTTGTTTGCGGTTTCGTTACGTTGCCCGTTCGGTGTAATTGCGCGGACGGAACGTGACATTACCATCGTCGCGCTGCCAAGCACGCCCTTAAACGACGGGGATCTCCATCGGCCGCTTCTCGTGCCTGGAACACATTTTCGTCTCCTTCGCCTTCGTCTCCTTTCTCTTCCATTCGCGTATATTCTTCCTTCGTGTTTTCTCTTACGATTCATCTCCTAGAACGGGAGAACGAGATACGCCCGCCCTCGCAACTCGAGATTGCTCTTAACGTCTCTTAAAGCCCCCTCGAGAGAGATGGCTCGAGAGTCATCGTCAAATTTCCTCACTTTCTCTTGACGGCGCGGCGGTGGGAGTAGCTCATGTAATATTAAATTCTCGTCGCCCCGCAATAGCAATAATACACGTTTCAGAGCGCATGCACTTCCAGCCGGCATATTATTTCGCGAGGGTAGCGCGAGGACGTACCTATAGCGTGCGCTACCGACTGCGAAGGTTTACCGCGAAAAAAAAAAAAACAAGAAACACCGCGTCCCGCGCAACATTCAATCGCGCGTAGCCGTGAAATTACATACTGATCCACGTCCCCAATGTATCGAGTTGACTTCCCTCCGAGAGAGAGAGAGAGAGAGAGAGAGAGGGGAAAAAACGGAGGGCCTCGTGGGGGGATACACGCCGCGCGCGAGTTTCATCGCCTGAAAATTAGCGGGCGCGCTCGCGTAATCGATATTGCGAGGCGGTGTTAACAAGCCGTAGGAAGGCACATTCGGCCGTAATCGTCATTTTCGGATGTGGGCTGGCGGAGATGCAAATTCCGAGTGGACCGGTTAGTGTAATGACCGATAATTTCGTTCGCAAGCTCATTATGGAAATGGAAACTGTTTCCATAGAAATTACATAATTAGAGCATGGCGATGGTATGCTCTCGCTCCAGGACGCTTGCCGACGGCGCTTAAACGCAGTCGAAATCGCGAACAATCGAACGATTTGTATAATCCGCCAGCAGCGCAGCGTGTGATGAAAATGTCCGAAATATCCGCCGCCGCCTCCCTCTCTCCGCCGCGCGCCGAGCGCTTCATTGTAAATAAAAATGTAATCCCACGGGGGCAAAATTGCGGGCCGTTGCGCGAAAAGCCGCGCGTTGCGCGCGCCGCGTTGCGAGGCACCGGCAATCGCTCTCGCCGTCTTTAAGTGTCCGCAAGAATAACGACAACCTCAGGTGACTCGTTAACTGGGGACGTTTAACGTAATTGCATCGCGACGAAGAGGAGCAGGAGGGGGGAGGGGAAGAAAGAGCAGGGGATCAGTGTCAGTAATCAATTTTACGGGCGAGTGTATTGTACGCGCGTCTTCTCCCATTAGGATCGCGTGCGAGTCGCGAGCCTAATCGCTCGCGAGGCGCAATAAGAGCTTGTAAATAATCATCGGCAAAGTTCAACTGAGTCGCGCGCTACGCTTCGTAACGACGGTAATTTCGCGGGGACTTATCGTTTCGTTGACTAATTGAGGCATCGAGTAATCCCGCTTTGCACGCGTTGCTGGCTTCATAATTATACGTAAACACGCGCGAACAGAGAGAAAGAGAAAAAAAAACGCTGAGAGGGAGGAGGAGAGGGAGCGTGAGAGAATATATATATATATATATATATATATTCCGCGTACGTTCCGGTGGCTTTCGACAGAATTTGCGGTAAACGGTCGAGTCGAATAGCCGTTAAATGGAAACGCGCGCGATGTCGAGAGCGATTAAAAAGAAAGCGTCGTACGAAAGAGGCGCGGCGGAGAAATTAACCTGTTGACAGGTGCGTAACCCCGAAAATCGATCGCGGACGTCTGATGCAGACACCCGCGACCACGTGCACACGCGCGACGTCGTGCATGCACTTGACTGCGAGCGTTTCCGCTTCCGTTTGCAGTCGCGTAAACAGACCGAGTCGCGGTCTCTCTCTCTCTCTCTCTCTCTCTCTCTCGACTGGCGGCGCGGATTTCTTCCGTTCCGCCGGATGGACGCGCGAGTGTCGCTCGTTAACGCACGGGCGAACAATGCAGGACGCACTTACTTTCGCATTTCAACTTCATCGTCGCATCGCGCTCCTCTCTCTCTCTCTCTCTCTCTTTCGTTACTTCCCCCCACCCCTCCCCCTCCTCCTCTCGCTCTCTTCCTCTCCACCTCGCGAGATGGATTTATTTCTGATTCGTTGGAATCAATTTCGATGCGTTGTATATTTGGAATAGATTTTACACACGTGAAAAAAGATGGAATAAAACAGAAAAACTCGCACATGCATCCGACAGATCACTCGTGAAGTTTCGCAATATTGTTGATACCGGTGTGTGTAGCAGACAAATCCGAGTGCATAGCGGAGATACTTTTTGCGGATAATTTCGATGAAATCGCTGAATCGCGCCATCGGCCGGAAACAACGCCGCAGTCCGAGCGGACCTAACCGAGCATATCGCGCGCGTGGACTTTTTGTCTGCGGTCGCATCCGCGTGTGTGTATATCGTAGAAATCGCGTTACCGTTGTCCCGCGTCGTCGTTGTTTCCGCGGGAACAAAAGGAAAATAGGAATAAAAGGCGGAGAAAGCCGCCGTCTAATCCGCCGCGCAAACCGAAACTCGATTCACCTCGGAGCCGGAACGACCGATCGAGGTCTCTCGCGACCGCTCGAACGTCGTCATCGTCGTCGTTGTGGTCGCGGAGCGTCCTGGTGTTAACGCGAGTCGAGTTGACGCGATATCCCAGGAGTCGTTCTCGCCGATCGATCGTCGAGCCGACACGCGGAAAATTCGCCAAAGTTTCCCATCACCTGCCCCGCGCGCGCCGCGCCGCTAATTTCTCCCCGCGCGGGAAAGACGCCGCGAAACTTTCGCCGCGATCGACCGGAAGAATCTGTTGCGAGATGCGCCGGCGGCCAGCCGAAGGAGGCGGCAGCGGCGGCGGCGGCCGCGGCGGGGACGACGGCGACGGCGGTGGTGTGGAAATCTTCTTCGAGGTTGAGCCGAGGTTGAACCGATAGAGACTCGGGAATACAGCAGTGCTGCCGCACAGTCGCCGGAGGATTAACTGTTAATTAGCAGACATGTATGCCCACGTGCATGGGGATAACGGCATGTGCTGTTATCTTCCCACCGTTCTGTATCTCGAACGATACCGTAAGTACTTGTTCGCCCCGACGAGCTTATTACGAAACACTCGCGCGTTATCGAAAGACTTTGTAGTCAATGTCGGGGATTTATCGCCGTGATACAGCATTTCCCCTGCGTCTCTTGTCTCTCGGATAAATCCTCCTCTCCCTCTTGCCTCCGCAGAGCGGAAGAATCGACGGCTACGGGCGCGAGCTCGAGTCGTTCTCGAGATTCGCCGCGGACGTGGGCGCGCTCGCAGCTCGCAATCGCGAAGAGATTCCCAATTTTCGCCGGAAGCGCACCGTAATTATTTCTACGCTTCCGAGTGTCTACTTACCTGCCCATCGTTGCCAGGAATTTCGCCCCGCGGCGGACTAAAGTGGGATAATTAATTTCGTGAAGTCAACTCGACGCTCGCGTGGAGTTTCATGCGGAGGAGTTATGTTTAAGTGAAGCATACATTTCCGCGCCCGTTGCTTCCGGGAACGGCCGCGGCGGCGGCGGCGGCGGCGGCGGCGGCGGCGGCGGCTGATTAGCGTAATTTTATGGGCGATCACCGACGGAAACCGACGGAAGGGAACGAGCGTGTAACGCACCGGGTCGAACTTATTTGAGGGGAAAAAGTCGGAGGGAAACAAGGGAAAGCGGCAGGATAACGAAAGATTTTGCATAATAGAGCGGTTAAAGCGCGGCGCGCTGCGGGGCTACGCTGCGCGTCGCTGAAGGTTGCGCATGTAAATGCCGCGGGGAGGTTATCGAGTAAACGAGGGGTGAACTGCATCCGCTAGCGTCCCCCGGCGAATCTCGCTTTTTGTCCGGCGTGTTTTCGCAGGAGGAGCTCATCGATCGACGCGATATCAACGCATTACTGATAACATTATTAGTAGAGCGTTCTCTCTCTCTCTCTCTCTCTCTCTCTCTCTCTCTCTCTCTCTCTCTCTCTCTCTCTCTCTCTCTCTCTCTCTCTCTCTCGTCCCTCCTGCAATTTGCCTCCTGCAGTAGCCTTGACGAACGCTGACTTGCCATTGCTTCACGTAAATGCGGGTGCAAAGGTTCCGTATACTTGAAATCTGATTATCCTCCCTCCTTTGTCTCTTTGCTCTATTCTATCTCGCCGTAAGTCACTATATCGGTGTATGAATGATATAATGAATGCACGCAGTCGTGGATGGAGATATTTTGGTTTACTCATCGCCGCCACCGAAGGCTTACGGCACGCCACGGTCCGCGATTTTTTCCCGTCACTTTTCGCTCGCCCGGAGGCGCGAATCGTGCGATTGTGTTTTCCCGGCAGCTCGCTGTTGCGATTTCAAGAAAATCCCGCCCGTGAAAAATGCACCGTCGATTTCATTTCTCTCGTCGCGCCAGCTGCCCGGTTCGCCGCTGGTTTGTTGGGAAAAATGCGAAAGCAACAAAGCGAGAGAGAGAGAGAGAGAGAGAGAGAGAGAGAGAGAGAGAGAGAGAGAGAGACAGCGAGTGAGAGACAGAGAGAGAGAGAGAGGGACGAGGGATTACGCCTCTAATTGGCATCGCCGTGATTTATCTGCGGTCCGTGATTTGTCGATCGCCGACGGCCAACGGGGAACGACAATTAAAGTAGCGAAATTTAATATTCTGTCGCGCGAGCGAGCGCGCGCGTTACACGACGATTTACGCGCGCGCGCCGAGGATGTCAAAGAGCGAAACGGGAAATTGATCTCGCGCTGCTGTTGCAGCGGCGGCACTTACGAAAGAATTAAATTGGAACCTCTACATCAATCATAACTCCGGGCGCACAGCTCGCTTGCGAGTAATGTCCGCGAGGAGCGGACACGCTCCTGACGGATATACCTGACGGTGTTCTTCTTCGCGTAAGACATCGAACCGCGCGTTGCTTTATAATTGTTGCCCTTTCCGATCGTGTCTTCCGTCACGGTGCGTCACGGTACGACCGCTCGACAATTCGACGGCGTTTTCCACGCCGTGCATCCGCGATGCTTTGCATCGGATCGCATTCGTCCCGACCAAGACCCCACAGAGGCCGGAGGAAAAATTGGAGAACGAGAATGGAGGCAAATGGCCATCGAGATTATCGCGGTTTCACGCTACAGTTGGCTCGGACGACCGCTGGATGGGCGGTGGTCCATTTCAGCCGTCGTGCGCAGAACGCAGATTAAATCGGCGCTGTTTGTACCGTCGGCTGGCTTTTGAGCCCGGCTCTCGCGATTCTGTACTTTATTGTCCGCCGCTTATATCCGCTTGACACGTGGTCGTGATTAATCTCGGGGGTGCGGCGCTCTCTTTCTCTCTCTCTCTCTCTCTCTCTCTCTCTCTCTCTCTCTCTCTCTCTCTCTCTCTCTCTCTCCCTCCTCTTGTGTCTCTCTCTCTATCTATCTACCTATTTATCTATTTCTCTTTCTCTCTTTTCCGCTTTAATTCCATCAAACCTCGTGTTCTTCGAGCCGAACTGCGCGAACTGCAATATGCGATCGCTGTCGCGTTGTCTATTAACGTTCACCGCGTCGTCCGAGCTCCGCGCGTTTCAATTTGAGAAGGATTCGCGAAGAATTCGCCGAGCCGCGAATTTCATTCGTATGATGACGTGGAAATCGCGATGGAAACGAGTGTTCCGGGTCGATAGGTCGCGGCGTTGTAACGGTTAGAGGTGGATGTGTGAGTGACTGTGGATTTATCTGGTGGATTCGAACGATATACTCCGCGCGTGGGGCAAATCAAATTGCGCTGAATGAATTTTAATGGCCATAAAATATATTGTAATAATGCGTAGCGTTCAGTTAGCGCGAAAATTATCGCGTGGTGATTATCACGAGACGAGTTTGCATAACAGAAAAATTGCTCGCACTGGACATTATTAACAGAACGACAGAACGTCGAGCTACATCTTCGGAGCTTATATGCTAGAGCTGCACCACCGCAGACATCGCAGACCGCCGTAGTCAAAGTGAACGGTTTACGGTGTGTCGCTCATCTAAAATGTAGAGGATGATCCCTCTTCGTGGTATTTCTTCACGTTCACTACGAGCGTCTGACAGGACGTCTTCCCGGGGCAAAGGTTTCACTCGTTAGGTTTCCGCGCTGTTTAATAATTACGTAGCACCGTTGCCACGTGAATTCACCATAGACGAACAGTTTCAGCTTTAAAACACGAAAATTCTCGCGCTATCGCGCGAGCGTACCTATCAGCTGTCCGTAAATAATAGAGGAGTCGCGAGTAGCGATAACCGCGGTTTTCGAACGAGGAACGAGGTTAATAGAAGAATTCGAGAGAAAGTACGTGAGAGGGGCTAGTGGAATGTAGATTGAGAGGGAGGGGGAGAAAGAGAGAAAAGGGGAGGGAGATATGAAAGACAGTTGTTCCGCCAGCGCGGAAGGAGTTTCACGTTTTCCTATAGTCGAGGCGCGAGGAAAAAGGATTCGCGACGTTGAGTCAACTTTTCCACCTGCCTGCCCGCCCATCGCCATCCCCTGGCTACTCCTCTCTGCTCGTCGACGAGAGAGAGAGAGAGAGAGAGAGAGAGTGAGGGGGGGGGGGAGGGAGGCCGGTTTACTCTGCGCGGCGATTCACTTTCGAGGAGAGGAGGAGAGAGAGAGAGAGGGAGAGAGTATCTTTGCATGTGTCAGTGGCTGCCTATGCAAAGCCACTTTTTCCTCCCGGGAATCTCGCGATAAAAAGACGGAGAAATCGCGAGCGAACGCGAGATGAATCTTGTCGCGTGTTCGCTGGACGCGGATTTCAAGCGAGAAAGAAGCGTCGGAGCTCTCGCCTCTCTCGCGTATTCTTCGTCTCCGCGTCATCTATTATCAATGTTAATCCTTCACCGAGGAGGAGTATCTTCGCGAAAAGTCGCAGCAGATCCTCGCTCCAACTTGACATTTCCTCACTCCGTGTCGCGCGAGTGAAACGCGAACATCGGCTGCGCGATGTTCACCTCTCGATCAGCTCTCGTCGCATCATCGCGCGTTTGCTCCTCGCCGATCGCCCATCACGTCGCTCGCGAACGGCTGCGGAAAAAACGATAACGTTCGTGTCTTAGGCTCGACGCCGAGACGGACGTAAAACACGTCGAGGCTAAGCGCATTTGCAGCTACGAACACGAGCGCGGCGGAACGCATTTAGCGGTGCGGTTGGTTTTTGGCCACTTTCTGCTCTTTTCCTTCGCTAATGCGAAGTCGCATTTGAACGGTCGTTGCTCTCTTTCTTTCCTCCTCTCTCTCCCTCTCTCTATCTCTATCCCTATCCCTATCCCTATCTCTAGCACTCTTTCTCTCGTCCTCTCTCGCGTTTTTTCGTCGTTTCGGCTGCGCACAGTTTATTCCCCGTTACGTTCCGCCTCGTCCTCTCTCTCTCTCTCTCTCTCTCTCTCTCTCTCTCTCGTTGTCGAGTGCCTTTGCATCTGCCAGCTCCCATACACGCCGCTGTGTACGCGCGACACGCTTTTCCTGCCGCTCTTCCTGCCGGCCGCCGAGTGCCGCTGACAACACCGAAAGGATAACAGTTCCGTATATTTACTCGTCTCGCGTGCGGACCGTCTCGATGGTCCCTCGCGCCGACACTAATCGATGGGGCGGGCATTTCTCTAATTAACGCGTACGCGCGCGACTGGCGATCGAGGGAGATTCGGGATGAGCGCGGTTCGAGGGCGAAGTGTGTCTTATTGCGATTTCATCCTGATCAAGGTAATATTTGCATTTCCGCTCACTCCGCTCTGTAGCGCGCCAGACACATTCCGATTTCAATAAAAGCTTGTTTGACGCGCTCTCGCGAAGCACTGCGCTACACCTCCGCGCACATACGCCCGCTCCCTTTAAGACAAGCTTCGACGAAAGAGGAAAGAGGAACGCGATTGGATGTGTGTGTATGTGCACGACGACGGCAAAGTGGAAGTAACGCACGCTGTCCTACGATGATATAATGAACGTTTCAATAACGTCGGGAGGCGTTTCTCCCGTTTTTTTTCTTTTTCTATTCAAGTACCACCGCTCACTGTTCTTGTCGACGTGATTTTCTGTAAGCGATTCCTATTTAC